GTTTCCCGCCAAAACCGCAAAATCACGAGTTTCCCGCCAAAATCCGCAAAATCACGAGTTTCCCGCCAAAACCGCAAAATCACGAGTTTCCCGCCAAAATCGCAAAATCACGAGTTTCCCGCCAAAATCGCAAAATCACGGTTTCCCGCCAAAATCGCAAAATCACGAGTTTCCCGCCAAAATCGCAAAATCATGTTTCCCGCCAAAATCCGCAAAATCACGAGTTTCCCCCAAAATCGCAAAATCACGAATTTCCCGCCAAAATCGCAAAATCACGGTTTCCCGCCAAAATTGCAAAATCATGTTTCCCGCCAAAACCGCAAAATCACGGGTTTCCGCCAAAACCGCAAAATCACGGTTTCCGCCAAAACCGCAAAATCACGGTTTTCTATCAAAACAAAATCCGCAAACCGCAAAACATGGTTTTTGGGGAAAGTTGTGATTTTATGTTTTGATGGAAAAACTGATTTTTACGGTTTTGGTTGAAAAACGTGATTTTACAGTTTAGGGAGAAAGACGTGATTTTACTGTTTTGTGCATAAATCACAATTTTACGTTGCAAAAAACAGTGAGTTTATGTTTTTGACGGAAACGTGGTTCTACGGTTTTGATGAAAAATCGTGTTTTGCGATTTTACGGTTTCGGCGGAAAGATGTGATTTACGATTTTGGCGGAAAGACATGATTTTACGATTTTACAGATTTAATGGGTTATAGATTTTTGTGATGTTTATAGATTTTGTTTAGTTATCTTTATTTTAATATATATAAATTTTTAGTTATATTTGTTTGTGGATCATCCATTAACCATTCATCCATTAACCCATTAAAACCATCTAATTAAATGGATAATGGATCAAACCAACCCATTTCCTAAATGGATTGGATTAATCCATGATCCATTAGCACTAAATCCACTTGGATAATGGGTTGGATGGGTTGGGTTATCCATTTTGACCCCCTAGAGCCGTAGTCTTCTGCATAAATCACGATCAATAAAGATCCAACTGTTGTGTGTGTATCTAACGTAAAACCTTTGTTATTAAAATGGGTTTGTGTGGAAGACTTGAATGGGAAATATTAATTAGTGGCTATCTGAAATGCATGCAAAGCTCTTCTAATTTATCTTAATTTTGTGGCCATTTATAATATTTTAACTAATTTTATTATTATTCATGATAAGAATACTTGAGTATCAGAAATCTCATACCTTTATAAATCTTTATAGGTTAATCTTATTATGATGAGTAAATTGATTCTCGTCTTTGTTTAAATAGAAATATCCAAGAGAGGTTAATGATGAAAGAGAGAGATTTAAGATTAATTTTTTTTTAAAGTTAATTTTAATTAAATAATAATTAAAATATTATCAATGACGTGATATTTTAAGTCACATTTGTAATTAACGACAAATATATGAGTATATTTTAGTGGTGATTTTAAATTTTACATGTTTGACTTGCATGTTTTTTTAATTGATGATTATATTTGAAAAAAAAAATTAGATGACAGGTGTTGTGCATAAATTTATTTCGAATTTTCACAAATCTAGATCTTATATTGTAGGGATTTTTTGACTTCACAGTTTTTTTTCACAATTTTAATTTAAATTTTTGATTTGCCAATAAAATTAGTTTGAGAATTATTTTGCATAAAACCCTTTTTAAAATATTAAAGGACCAACTCTCCCAATATTATATTATACCACAACAACATATCTACATAAAATAAAAACAAAAACACCGCTAATTTAATATTTTCTTTTGACGGTTCAGATCAATGACTAGGATCCAACGGTGAAGTCCTTCAAGAATATTAAGTTTCTTTGGCAGCCGATCCTATAAAAAAACCCAACCTTCTAACCTAGCCTCTCTCTCTTTAACCAAACAGATCTGAACCTTAATTTTTGTTCATTCTCACAATGTCCTTTGTAGATTTCTCCAGTGTAGATTTTTCCGATCCCTTCGACACAGATTTCTCCGGTAAGATGTGCCTATTCACTTGCTCGAAATTAATTGCTTAGTAGTATTAGATTTCATGTTTGTCATGCTAAAACAAGCCTATCGAATAAAACTTTTTTCTCTTCATCGGTTTCCTAATCATTGTTTGTTTTGTTTATGCCTTGTCCGTTTTGGCAGCTGGTAAAATAGGCGTGTTCTGGGACGTGAATGATTTCCCAGTCCCCGAGGGTCGCGGGATTCATGAGATTGTCGAATCTGTTCTTAGGGGAAATGAGTATTCCGGTGACATATCGATCACGGTTTATGGAGAGAAGAATCCTCTCTCGGCTGAAGAAGCCGCCAAGGGTGACATCACATTCGTACAGAAAAGTAAGATTGATATCCTCTCTACTTTAATTAAAACCCTAATCTTATAGATGAATCGTTGCTTGATTTAAGTTAATATTTTCGCCTGTGTCTATATGATGTCGTCTCCTTTCTTTAATTGATTGATTGGTGTCCTCTCCTTTCTTTAATCGTCGTTGATCCACAATCTCTCTACTTTAAATTGATTTCCCTAATTTTATATATCAATATTTTCAGGTGATAAATATTGGAGAGTTAACGATATGCTATTGGATATTGCTATGTGGGCGGTGAACAGCCCCTTTCCTCCTGATAGCAACCCGGCAAATGTGATGATCCTTGCAAGAAACAAGGAGAAAACCGATTTCGTCAGTTTCCTTAAAAATTTGAACAATGCAAATTTTAATGTCTTAGTAGTAGTGCCGGATGATGTTAAACCAGAAGAGCTGAATGTTCCAGCTGTTAACGTGGCATGGTATTGGAAGAGCATACAAGAAGATGGAAAGCCTATACCCCAAGAGGATTTTCAAGACCTTTTAGATAAACAACGAGTTCATTTACTCAGTCTTTATGAAGACGATGAAGACGATGTTGCTGTTGCTCAAGGCGTTTGTGATGAGTGTGCCCTACCGACTAGCTGATCGACGTGATTTTCTCTATGCAATTTCGCAGTATCATTTTGTACTAAACTCTGTTTTTCCGCTCAAAAATTGCTTTGCTTTGTTCTTGAACATTATTTTAATATAAAATCAACCGTATTGCATAATTAGTTTCGCTGTATGATTAGTCAGTACTCTGAATAAGCAATCTGATGACATCTCAAATTCTCAGTGAGGGTATCAAGCAGGTTCTCCACCTTTTCCATCCACCATAAAGCCGTGCTTTCTCAATGGTAGGAACAATCCCAGCCATACGCTTATGGCTATCTGTAAAACTTAAGTGCACCAAGAACATTAATTAGACGCTATAGTGATACCAGCCATCGAACTTGTAACTCTCTCCTCTCATAGAAAATCAACCTCGAACAGGGGTGAATGAATACTGCTGTCTGCGTAAATTTATGATGATGAGATCTCGATTCCAAGATGGTTTCCCATTTATTTGATTTTCCATACTAAAAATGATCATTAGCAAAGATATCACAAAAGTCAAAGCTGACATAGCCACACTCGTATTTAAAGAGAGTTTCTGCAGCAAGAACCATTCTGGTTCTCTAGTTTGGTAAGACTTAACACTGACAATACCACTTGAAAAGATCTTTGAATGTTGCAGAGCTTCTGCTTCTTCGTCCCCAATTACATATTGCTCAAGCTCAGAATCGATCGATCCTTTTTTCTTCTTCTTCTTATTCATTTGTTCCTTTTAAAGACACGAGAAGAAACAAGTTCAATGACATTATAACAGAAACAAAACATATAATACTTTTACACTGGCACGGAGAAGGTTGGAGAATTACCTCGACTTGTTTAGCTCCTTCCCTGAGATCATCATCGACCGATACATTGTGAGGTTCAAGAACTCTCTGCAACCAAAACAGATGACACTATAAAAATATCTCGAGAGGTGATCAGGCTTTAAATCAAACGTTGCACACAAAAGCAATGGCATCAAAGATCCAAACTTCATCACTGGTTTTAAAAATGTATATGCTTACGATCATAGTTACCTCTTTCAAGATAGGCAAGGATGGTTCAATCTCCTCTGAAGCAATTCCGTTCAGATATTTGTATAGCTCTTGTGTGACTTTCAAGAGAAGAGAGTGAATATGTCCCCTCTCCAACTGTCGAACAACATTCAAATGTGTTTGCAAGTTTCCTAAAACATAATGAAGCAGCGGCAGATAGCAATCATCGAAATTAGAGTAAAACACGTTACCTCGATGCTAGAGAATCCAACTCCTGCAATCCCAAGGATAGTAGTATAGATGCCTGAACATATGCCAGTGTTTTGAAGATGTCATAAACCTTCCAGAGATAAGACAATGAAACTTAGTTCCAAACTGAAAGCAGTTGGTAACTTGGTATTGATCATCTCAAGCAGTTGTTTTACTTCTGCGCCATTTCAATTTCTAATTTGTTTCGAATATAGAGTGGTTCCATGAGATTATTCCAAAACAATTTAGATTAAGTACATTTACAAATTTTAAAACCATTTTCAGAGAAGAAATCCAACCAGATTGAAGTCGATCAGATTGTTGGTATATGCTTTGAGACTCTCCATATCGAATGGAGAAAATATACCGTCGAGTGTCTTAAAAAATCCGTCTGACGAATTTCCTTGGAAGTTGATCTTGGGGTTTAAGACACTGGACAAAGAATGATATGACAAATAAATATATGCATTAAATATATCCTTACTGTGAAATAGTGACAAGAAATTGTTAGTGCTTACCTCATTGCAAGTGTATAGTCCATCTTCTTGAATTTATCACTCAGAAGCTTAGAGAACCTCATCCTGAAGTCTGAACAAAGCAAATTAAGTTATTTAAGTAGAAGATGGAGAAAGTTCTCAGTTCTTGATCAAAGAATCAACAAACCTTTATAGAAGGGAGCAAAGAATCCCAACTCATCGGACCCGCTGACTTCTAGTTCATCATTCTTTAAAGGTTTTAGGAGCATACAAGTGTGCTCACCAGTCACAGCACTCTGATCCAAGCACAGGGAATATTCAATGTTACAAAACCACTATTAGAAATGGTACTCATAAGCAGTTAAGGGGAAGGCTGGAAATATTCTCAACTGGGACTTGGCTACGTAGAATGGAGCAAAATTATGTTTTCTCCAGAACCGGAAGAGGTCCAAAGTAAGCCCAAAGGAGACACCAATGTAGTGGAGTCTTTCAGGTCGACGTTCATGGAGTGCAACCAACAGAGGTGGAAGGTTTGTGCGAGGCTTTACTTGCTCCTCGAGCATGGAGACCTTCTCAGCAGCCTCAGCAACTCTAATGGGTGAATGCTCCACATCAACTTTTTCATCTGCTTCTGAGATTGGAGCAATCTGACCCTCAAAGTATCTGCACATGTCAATCAGTATAGTAAGGAAGAGGAGCACTAATATTTATCCGTATGACGACACCTATTGAAGACTACAAAGTACAAATTGTCGAGCACAAAACATTAACATTGATATAAGTAATGTAAGGGATACATATGATAACAAAACTCATGTATGCACATTTATATGAATTTACCTGGTTAAGAGTTCAACTGCAGCAGAACCATATCCCATCTATAAAGAAGGTAATCAGAAACTTGTTAACCGCACACAAAATACTAACTGGACAGTTGAAAATACGAGCAGAAAAAAAAGGATTACCTTCATGGCATTAGGGTGGACTGCTATGCGTACTATCCGAGCACCAGAAAGGTTTGGAAATTCAATGTCCCGAAATTGTTCACAGAATTTCCATGGAATTTGGTCTCCATATGGTGAATGGCCATCCCTTAAACTTTGGAGGGCTGAGTTTTTTGATATTTGTCCTTCGAGACAGATCTGAATATAACAATTACATTAATGGTTAAGATCTCACACACACAAAAAAACGACACAAGAAAAATGGGCTAGAAACTATGGATTTCCACATTCTGTGGAAAAAAGCAACCGAGTTAAAACAGATTGATAGCTGATAAAACAGTTTAATCGTTCTAAGTCCATTTTCATGAAGACTGATGAGTCACTGTTCTAGGTCAATGCGAAGCCCAAATCAAACTCCAATTGTTTGGTATTTCAACAGACCAAACAAATTAGTGATCAAGTTCTTTTAGTAATTCTACGGAGCAGAATAAAAAGCAACAATTTATACCTGGACAACACAAAGTATATCAGGAAGCTTGTTTTGGGACTCATCAACAGGACCTGTGGTTAAACGCAGTTAGGCATAGTTCTGAAAAAAACCCTAGGTGGGGGAAAAGACTGTTGCATACCAAGTAAGACAAAGAAATAATGAGCAGGAGCATCAGCCAGTAGTTGAATATCATTAGGAGAATTCATGTAGTGAGAAGAGACACATAGCGCCATCATTCTCTGTATCATGCAACTATATCAGTATATTGTCAATATGCAGGTAAGAAAAGAAGGTATAAGTCCCAGTCAACTACATTTGCCTGTAGAAACGACTCGCTATCTTTGTGACAAGAAAAGAGTGTGTCACGGTTGACAGAATAGAGTTCACACTGACTTGGCAGAGGATAGCTACACACAACGAAGAAAGAAAAGACAAATCAAATAGAAATCCATTTATAGACGCTTAGTACCGTAAGAAAGGATAGTAGACACTATGAAGTAAAATATCCATACCACGCAGAAGGATTAGGCAGAATTAGCAGCAACGTCAAGGCAAAGTAAGTCATTAAGCCAGGATTCTGTTGGATCTCCAGAGCCGTATCTAATAGACTCATTAAGTTCTATCTTCTTGGAAAGGAAACCTGTCGAAAGAAACTTGGGGGAGTCAGGGGATTCTCCAAAATATTTGCAGGCCATGGGAATAGAGTGAACTTTACTACAAATGAAGAACTCATCAGATACACAAGTAAAGCGGGCTACTTTGAATTAGAAACATGACAGAAGTTGCGAGGCTCACCTTTGAATCCTCCAATTCCTCTGGTCCAATCCAGGCAAACCAATTGATATGGAGCAGATATATAAAGGGTTCGAATAAATATGTTATGATGGACACAATTCATATCTTCATCCCAGTTTTAAGAGTGCTTTAAACAATTCATTTTTGCCAAAAACATCTGTACCACCAAACATGACACAAGTCAGGCTGAAGGTTTGCAGTTACACTGGCAAGGAAAGTATGCATCAGAGAGAATGGCAACAAGGAAGCTAGTTCCATTGGTATACCCAACCACACTGGTCTTGAAATGATGTAAACTATTGCAGAGATCAAACCGGCAAGAAACTCATGGACCGAAGCAAGTCCCCTGGTGTCAAGAACGAAACTGCGTCAGAAAGCAATATAGATGGAAAGCTAGAGATGACACACCATAAGGTTAAATGCGTATATTGTTGTAGATTTTCATGACACGGATTGGATTGGAACTCACGTAAGCAACAACCACTTATGTAAGAGGGCTCTAGTGTTGACAAACATTGAAGGTGGAAGCGCTAAGCAGATCACGATGTCGCGCCACTCTGCCCTCTCGAAGAGCTCCTTGTTTAGACAAAGGAAAGGCCTCTCCACCACATATTTCAAGATTCTGGAAACATCTTCTTTCAAAGACAATGGATCTTCATACCAGAACAGGATCCTGACCATTAAAAATTGTCAGACCGGTCGACCTTTCTCTGAAACAAGAGAGCAAACATGGCAGAAGCTCTGGCTTCAGTCTCACAAGTTCTGTCGACTAGTATGACATATAGAATCAGGAAAATGTGGACTAACATAGCTTGAGCTAGAGATAGGACAAGAGGTCAAACCTCAGTGGTATTTCGTGGTTCTCTATAGATGATACTGACTCGGTAAGCAAGTAACAAGTTTAGAGACACAGGCCCTATTTCTTCCATCCATTGACTTCTTTCTAGGAGCGATAACGCTGCATGATGTTGAAGGCTGCCGATCTCACAACAGCTTGGAACAACATTGCTGCCAATTTCCCTACGATCGGCTTAACTGGGACCGTTGACGAATCCGCCTCCATTCTCCGGAACACAATCAACTAAAATCTGGATCAGAGAAGCCTTGGCGGTAGTCTGATTCCCCACGTTTTTGCTTCCCAAGTAAATGTCGTGCAATCTGGAGTAAGCAGTCTACATGAATCCTCAGCGAGATGGAGTTAATCGCAGATAACATAGTCTTAAGTTGATCACAGGTAATTCAATGGATTCGTCTCCCAAATCGTGGCATTTACCAACGGACTCGATCAATTTAAAAAGGAGGATGGACTCTGCTCCACCGGAAGTATCCGCTTCACCACGAATGTAGCCATGCGCGATAAGTTTCTGAATGCAGCCGATAGCTGGTTCGACGATCTTCGCAAGGCCAGTGCCACAGGCATTGATCAGAGGAAGACGGAGGAGATGATTTCTGGGGAGAACTAAGCCGCTCGATAACAGCTTTGCATTCGGTAGCGAGCTTCGAGTGTTTCCGCCACGACGCGTTCTTGACGATCTTCTCTAAAGCTGGTGTTACGACGAGCTCAGCGACTCAAACTTAGACAGATCTGGGACCACGAAAGGAACAGACCAACGGGGAAGAAATAGCCTCGGAGCTCTGCGCCCGATCCACAGCCATAATATCAACGAAACATAATCAAATTTCGACCCTAATTAGCTCCCGTAAGTATACCCAAATTGACAACCTTATTGTAGCAACCCACCTACAGATCTAATCACAAGAGGAGGTTCTACTAAACCTGCGTCTAATGTTCCCCCACAATTTGGGATTCAAATGATTTGGATGCGAAAGATTATCACCTTACAAATAATTAAAAAGTAAGAAACCTTGAAAGGTTACAAAGCTTTGGTTAAATAAATAAACCAGCAGCAATGTCATTATTGTTATGTATGCAGAGAAACATACAGGGTTTCATTTTACACAACAAAGAAACTCGTACAACATACAAACAAACATAAAATCCCTGAAGAATATACGTATACAATCTGATCCCCAGCAATGTAAGAGACTGGTTATAACGATCCGTCTGAGTGTTGACTGTTAACTCCAGTCTATAGCTTGGTGCATAGCAGCATTTTTTTACTTAAATTATCATGTGGTCATCTAGTTGTATAAGTTGAGATGTAATCACATCAAGTTATCAGCCTAGCAGCAGTGTCTCATTTACTAATCAAGTCTATAGCTTGGTGCATAGTAGCGTATAATACTCATATTACGATGAGGTCATAAAGCCCATTTATGGCCCATGGTATCATCTGGGCCTAAATGACACATGCGTTTTATTAGCCAGCCGAAGAGGATCCCACTTTGGTGAGGGCAGTTACTAAATTACCCTCAACTTGGCTGTGCAAGTAGGGGTAGAACCGTAATTTAGCAAACCACGAGGGTTCCTCCGAATCTTATCTCAACAAAATACCCTCTCATCGGCAGCCACAGAAGTAACCCTAAAATTTCCTTTGCTCATTTTTTTTCTCAATCGATGGCAGAAAGCATGGACACGGACACGGACACGGAGAGGCAACCTCCTTACTGTAAGTGATGAAGATGTGTATATATATATATCTCTTTGGTGCGAAGATGAAGATGATTTGTTTCCTAATTGTAAAAATGCGTTGGCAGATTCGGATACACGCGTCTTCTGGGACGTCGCGGATTTCCCATACCCTCTGAATGGCGATTTGAGTTACTTTTGTCTTAATATTGAGAGAGCTATTTGGAAGGAACGTTTTGTTGGTGAGGTCGAATTCTATGCTTATGGTAACGAAATAACTAATCAAGAGAGGATCGAGATTCGCAGGGCCGGAATCCGGCTCCAACAAGAAGGTAAACAAAGGGATTCAACATCGTTTGGTTTTATCAATTTAGAAGTCGAATGAGGAACTTGGCTTTTGCATAACGATTAGGAATAAATGATGTGATAGGTTTGGCTTAGGGCAACATTGAAAAAGAGTGAATGATACATATTTTATGAAATAGAAGTTGGTTTACATAGTCTCAGCATTCTTGTGTTTAATTTGACTAAATCGAAATTGCGTTTTAGGGTAACCCTAACAAGTGCTGCTTTGCGTTGATATCGGTTTTTTCAGGGGCTGAGAAGCGTGAGAGGCTGAATAGGATGCTATTGGACGTGCTTGAGTATGCACACCACAATCGTGATCCATATGGTGCAAATTTTCTCATAGCTATGAAAGATATTCCAGAGATGGACACCAGGCTGTTCAGCATTATGCAGGCTTTGAGGGAAAAATGTTATGAGGTGTGGTTCGTAGTGCCCGATGACTGCCCAGCATCGCAAGTGCCAGATTTTGATACTGCAACCGTAGTTTGGCGCTGCTCTACTCTCTGTGAAGGAGGTTACCCTATCGAGTTTGAGTCAGATTCTGATGACGAGGGAAGCGCACTAGCTGCCAAGAAACGTCAGAATGAGGAGGGGAGCTCACAAGGTGTCGAGAAACTTCAGAAGATAGCTGATGAGGACGGAGCTCAATAGGTGCAGAGAGCCATCTCTCGTGGTTGGTAGCTTCTAGATTCAGTGCGTTTACAAATTATGATACTTTTGTTTTTGTGTATGAATTTGACTTAATCTTTGTCGTCTCAAACTCTGTTTTGTTTTGTGTTCTTGGATCCTTGAACTGCCAAACAAACCGGCTCTCTCAGTTGTACGAAATGTTGATTTTCTTTCCAAATTACACCAAAAAACTTGGGAGTTTTCGGTTTCGATCCTCCTCCTTTTTTACCACACAACCAACTTTCAGCAAGCACCAGTTGTATGCTTAGTGAACACCTACAAAAAACTTAGGAGTTATAGTGCAGAATCTGAGAGAATCTGGGGTAAACGATCGCATGATCCAGGCCAAGTGAAGATATTCATGGAGCTAACCTCAAAGCTGCAAAGGTCTTATCAACAGAAAACTAGGCAGGTAGATAGTAAACTCATGACAATGGGTTTACAAGTGGGAAGAGTGAATACGAGTCAAAGGTGGCTAGTCTCTTTGCGTTGTGGTCAACTGGAGTCAATGGGTGGGAATTCATTTCTGTGAAAGTGAGAATGTACATGTACCTGTAGTGAATGGGTGCCTAAAGGAGATCAGTACCATTGACAGAAAGAAGAAAAACAAGAGTCTTTATCTAGAAGCTGAACAAAAGGATAAATATGAGCAAAAAGAGAGTTGCAGCCTTGCAGGTCGTTGTCCAGAAGAGGCATATAAGTCATGTTCTGTTTTCATTCTCCAAGCTGTTGTTACTACACCTATTGCAGAGATCAAACCGGCAAGAAACTCATGGACCGAAGCAAGTCCCCTGGTGTCAAGAACGAAACTGCGTCAGAAAGCAATATAGATGGAAAGCTAGAGATGACACACCATAAGGTTAAATGCGTATATTGTTGTAGATTTTCATGACACGGATTGGATTGGAACTCACGTAAGCAAAAGCCACTTATGGAAGAGGGCTCTAGTGTTGATAAACATTGAAGGTGGAAACGCTAAGCAGATCACGATGTCGCGCCACTCTGCCCTCTCGAAGAGCTCCTTGTTTAGACAAAGGAAAGGCCTCTCTACCACATATTTCAAGATTCTGGAAACATCTTCTTTCAAAGACGATGGATCTTCATACCAGAACAGGATCCTGACCATTAAAAATTGTCAGACCGGTCTACCTTTCTCTGAAACAAGAGAGCAAACATGGCAGACAAGTTCTGTCGACTAGTATTGACATATAGAATCAGGAAAATGTGGACTAACATAGCTTGAGCTAGAGATAGGACAAGAGGTCAAACCTCAGTGGTATTTCGTGGTTCTCTATAGATGATTCTCTCGGTAAGCAAGTAACAAGTTTAGAGACACAGGCCCTATTTCTTCCATCCATTGACTTCTTTCTAGGAGCGATAACGCTGCATGATGTTGAAGCAACAGCTTGTTTAGCCATCATGTTCTTGGAACAACATTGTAGCCAATTTCCCTACGATCGCCTGAACTGGGACCGTTGACGGATCCGCCTCCATTCTCCGGAACACAATCACTAAAATCTGGATCAGAGAAGCCTTGGCGGTAGTCTGATTCACCACGTTTTTGCTTCCCAAGTAAATGTCGTAGCAGTCTCCATGGATCCTCAGCGAGTTGGAGTTAATTCAATGGATTCGTCTCCCAAATCGTGGCATTTACAAACGGACCCGATCAATTTATAAAGGAGGATGGACTCTGCTCCACCGATAAGTATCCATGTCAATCCATGACTGAAATACCCTTGAGTTGACACTGGACTTAAAGATAATCAAATTTCGACCATAATTAGCTCCCGTAAATATGCCCAAATTGACAACCTTAATTAAGTGTGTCCTCCAAAGATTGTAGCAACCCAACTACAGATCTAATCACAAGAGGAGGTTCTACTAAACCTGCGTCAATGTTCCCCCACAATTTGGGATTCAAATGATTTGGATGCGAAAGATTATCACTTTACAAATAATTAAAAAAGTAAGAAACCTTGAAAGGTTACAAAGCTTTGGTTAAATAAACCAGCAGCAATGTTATATATGCACAGAAACATTCAGGGTTTCACTTTACCCAACAAAGAAACTCGTACAACGTACAAACAAACATAAAATCCCTGAAGAATACATACATATACAATCTGATCCCCAGCAATGTAAGAAAGCAACGGCATCTGCCCTTCAAACAAAAAAAAAAAAAAAGATTTGTCTGACTGTTGACTGGTAACTCCAGTCTATAGCTTGGTGCATAGCAGCATTTTTTTACTTAAATTATCATGTGGTCATCTAGTTGTATAAGTTGAGATCAAGTTATCAGCCTAGCAGCAGTGTCTCATTTACTAGTCAAGTATATAGCTTGGTGGCTTGGTGCTGTGCATAGACAGCATAGTGGCGTATAATACTCATATTACGATAGAGGTCATAAAGCCTATTTATGGCCCATGGTATCATCTGGGCCTAAATGACACATGCGTTTTATTAGCCAGATCCCACTTTGGTGAGGGCAGTTACTAAATTACCCTCAACTAATTGGCTGTGCAAGTAGGGGTAGAACCGTGATTTAGCAAACCACGAGTGTTCCGAATCTCTTTATCTCAACAAAATATCTCATCGGCAGCCACAAAAGCAACCCTAAAATTTCCTTTGTTCATATTTCTCAATCGATGGCAGAAAGCATGGACACGGGCACGGACACGGAGAGGCAGCCTCCATACTGTAAGTAATGAAGATGTATATATATATATCTTTGGTGCGAAGATGAAGATGATTTGTTTCCTAATTGTAAAAATACGTTGGCAGTTTCGGACACACGCGTCTTCTGGGACGTCGTGGATTTCCCACTCCCTCTGGATGGCGATTTGGATCGCTTTTGTCTTAATGTCAACGTTGCTATTAGTAATGAACGTTTTGTTGGTGAGGTCGAATTCTATGCTTATGGTGACGAATTAAGTAATCAAGACAGGATGGAGATTCGCAGGGCCGGAATCTGGCTCAAACAAGAAGGTAAACAAAGGAATTCAACATCGTTTGGTTTTATCAATTTAGAAGTCGAATGAGGAACTTGGCTTTTGCATAACGATTAGGGAAAAATGATGTGATAGGAACATTGAGTCATCCATGTACTAGTTTGGAAGAAAAAAGAGTGAATTGAAATTGCGTTTTAGGGTAAACCTGACAAGTGCTATCCATTTTTCAGGGGCTGAGAAACGTGAGAGGCTGAATAGGATGCTATTGGACGTGCTTGAGTATGCACACTACAATCGTGATCCTGCTGATGCAAATTTTCTCATAGCTATGAAAGACATTCCAGAGATAGACACCAAGTTGTTCAGCATTATGCAGGCTTTGAGGCAAAAAGGTTATGAGGTATGGTTCGTAGTGCCCGATGACTGCCCATCGTCGCAAGTGCCAGATTTTGATACTGCAACCTTAGTTTGGCGCTGCTCTATTCTCCGTGAAGGAGGCTACCCTATCTACGAGCCGTCTGAGTCAGATTCTGATGACGAGGGAAGCGCACTAGCTGCCAAGAAACGTCAGAATGAGGAGGGAAGCTCACAAGGTGCCGAGAAACTTCAGAAGATAACTGATGATGACGGAGCTCAATAGGTGCAGAGCCATCTCTCGTGGTTGGTAGCTTCCAGATTCAGTGCGTTTAAAAATTATGATACTTTTGTTTTTCTGTATGAATTTGACTTAATCTTTGTCGTCTTAAACTCTGTTTTGTTTTGTGTTATTGGATCCTTGAACTGCCAAACAAACCGGCTCTCTCAGTTGTACGAAATGTTGATCTTCTTTCCAAATTACACCCAAAAAAAATCTTGGAGTTTCTGGTTTCGATCCTCCTTCTTTATGACCACACAACAAATTTTCAGCAAGCACAAGTTGTATGCTTTGTGAACACCTACAAATATAGTTCAGGAGTTATGTACAGATAGTGCAGAATCTGTTGAAAGCACCAGAAATAATTTGGGGTAAACGACCTCATGATCCAGGCCAAGGGAAGATATTCATGGAGCTAACCTCAAAGCTGCAAAGGTCTTATCAAAAGAAAACTAGGCAGGTAGATAGTAAACTCATGAAAATGGGTTTACAAGTGGGAAGAGTGAATACGAGTCAAAGGTGGCTAGTCTCTTTGCGTTGTGGTCTAGGAAATTGGAGTCAATGGGTGGGAATTCATTTCTGTGAAAGTGAGAATGTACATGTACCTGTAGTGAATGGGTGCCTAAAGGAGATCAATACCATTGACAGAAAGAAGGAAAAACAAGAGTCTTTATCTAGAAGCTGAACAAAAGGATAAATATGAGCAAAAAGAGGAGTTGCAGTCAAGAAGAGTCATGTTCTGTTTTCATTCTCCCAGTTGTTGTTACTACATCTATTCTAGAGATCAAACCGGCAAGAAACTCATGGACCGAAGCAAGTCCCCTGGTGTCAAGAACGAAATTGCATCAGAAAGCAATATAGATGGAAAGCCAGAGATGACACACCTTAAGGTTAAATGCGTATATTGTTGTAGATTTTCATGACACGGATTGGATTGGAACTCACGTAAGCAAAAGCCACTTATGGAAGAGGGCTCTAGTGTTGATAAACATTGAAGGTGGAAACGCTAAGCAGATCACGATGTCGCGCCACTCTGCCCTCTCGAAGAGCTCCTTGTTCAGACACATTCAGGGTTTCACTTTACATAGCCACAAAACAAAGAAACTTCTACAACATACAAGCAAACATAAAATCCCTGAAGATACATACATATACAATCTGTTCCCCAGTAATGAATTGGGGGATTGATATGCTGCATAACAAGATGTGTGCGACAGCGTGTAAGAAACTGGTTACCACAAGGAGGGTCAGACCATTTGGAGTTTTCTTGATAGAAGCTATCGACTTGTATACCAACTAAACCTACATGTGTTACTAATACCTTCATTGTGTCTCATCGGTTATGTTAGTTCAGAATCTTCACAATTCAGAAAGCTCTTCTCATCAAAGTCCTTTCATTTTAACCATTTCTCAGGCTTACATGTCTCAGACAAGAGATCCTTTAGACTTCTACACCCTGACGGTGGCCTTAGGATGGGCAACACCGGTCTTTTCTGGATGTGGCAACTTCTGCACATTTTTCTAAGGATGACTCAACAACATAAGGATCATCAGTGGTTTAGTGGAAGAAAGCATTGATACCTAGCATGTAAATTAAGTTTCAATGCAAACAAAACAGCTGATTCATATCATCTAAATTATCTAACTACTAATATAAGGCGTCACAAGGCCACATGCCAAGGGAAGAATAGTGAAAATATAGGGACATTCGTTTGTATTTTACCGATCTAGTCTTGGTGCCTTGGTCTACAAAAGAAAAATAAGTTTTAGAGTTTGGCCTGGTAAATATTTGAGTCAGATTCTGATTTATCGCGCGTAACACAAATATTTAAAAGATAATTACCACAACTAGGCCCATACCAATCCAACTCTTTTGCTATAAATGTGTTGCGATATACATACTATATGGATTTATATATGTTTCTTTATCTCGTTCTGATGAAATTTTCTGTAATAATGACATAACTTAGGGGTCATTGTTGTTTTTTACCCACTTTTTAGACTCTTCATTTATTTCTCATTCTCTTGTGACGTAAATATAACATTTGAAGACACACGATAAGAATTTATCACAAATTTCATGACAAAAACATTAGTGAAGACTATTGTGAAATTTCGTTCCAATCCATAGATTTTCCAATGTTTTTGTGACAAAAACAATAAGATGTTCCAATCCAATAGTTTACATTTTACCAAGACTATTGGATTTTGTGCTCGGTTTATGTTGCAATCCATAAGATTTTTTTGCATATAGTGCGATACCTCAGCGACAAAGCACCATCATCATCATCATCGAAAACAAATGGCAGTTTCCGAGTCTTCTTCCTCGCAACAGTGGCTTCCAAGAGTAAGTAAGTTCGTTATGGATCTGATTGGTCTAGCGGTGGACAGCTTTAGCTTGTCAGATGATCATCCATGCATCAATGATTAGTTTGTCACTAAAACAAGAATGGGTTTGCGAAATCCCTATCCCGAAAGGCCGGAGGACGTGATAGATATTAGAATATTCTGCATTTACGTTGATTAGATATGACTCGATTAGAGTCTTGTACAGCAAGGGTCAAACCCTTCAACCACGCTCATCCGACACTATATATTCAGTGATTGTGTTATATGTATGACTCAACTCCTCCTTAAAATGAATCAATGCTGGTGTCTTTCCGTGAATGCTGTGGAAATTAGGAGGTGTTTTCATGACTAATCAATATGCTTTGTGTTAGATATTCCAGTCACTTGTAACTGAGCTGGACTCCAAGGATTGGGTTTTGGTCTGTGATGCTCTTGTCTTAATACTGTTCGTCCTCTTATGACATTCAACAAGGAAGAAATGCTGCCTTTGCTCATGTAAGTCATATTCTCTCGACTATGATATTATTATCACTTAAAAGTAGATGTAGTTACACTTTGAAAAAAATTTCTAGTGCTCACAATGTCAGGGAGAAGTCATCCTGGAGTCACAGAAGAATCCAACAAGTGCTCTATGTAAAACTGCAGGTATGACTCTTGTACATATTCAGCTCGTACAAGGACCATATAATTGATCAACTGGATCGTCCCCTGGTGCATATCTAGTCTTGGAATTTTCCTCAAATCGCGAACACTTTATTGTTCAAATGACAGTAATTTCTTTCAGCGGACTCAACCCCCTCCTTAAATCATCCCAAGACAAGCGATTTGTTTGCTGAAAAAGCACTAGTATCAACCTAGTCTCAAGACAAGATATGTCATCCAGAGACAACCCACTTGGCAAATCTTCTGCAAATCAAACCTCTCACCACTTAGTGCTCTGGTCATGCTTCTTGTCACCAGTGTGTAGCTAGTGCCGCTCGAGAGAGTCTTGTTTGTTACGCGTTCCTGACACAAGACCCCGGTTTGATAAACATCTGTGAGTAATCTACGCCCCCACTGTTTCTTTATCTTTGGTTGAAGGGCTTGTTTCTTTATTGTGTGTGTATATAGCGAGATGGTGAGACTGTCTCAATCTTTGATTTTAAGAAACTTATATTTGATTCTCGCATCAACTAAGCTTAGTTTTCCATTCTACCAAAACCAATTCTCATCTTAGTCAAAAGTTCCTACTTTAGTCCACTTTCTTTTAACGAAAAACTAATCAAAAACCAAAACAAAGATGTCGAATTCTCAAACGTTTGGTATAGAATGTTGCTTACTGCACTAAATCGGAGGAATTGGAAGAGAACCATCGATCCACATTTCCCCGTCTGGTAGAATCACTTTAATTTTCCTTATAGAGATGATATCGACGTGAATTTGTGTATGCGTAGCGAATTATTACGGTTTTGGAACTAGAAGAAGCAGGAGCTACGGAAAGCGATTCAAGTTTTCTAGAAAGAGTCAAAAGCGATTGTTTAATTAATATTTTATACCATCTACTTAGCCACATGGAACAAGAAAGAAATTAGTCACTTGAAATAGACTGGATCTGGAAAATGATTAAGTGGGCCATTTCCTCCCCTCATGAGATGCCAATGCCACTTGAAGTACGCATACCTTCCCAGTGATGGTTCTGCATCATGGTAAGAGGCGAGCAACACAGTGTAACCGGCGGTAGCAAGCTCTTGGATAAGAAAAGCGAAATCTGGGTCAGAGCTTATCAGGCAAATGTTGCGAGGAGGGTCATTGCTCTGGATAAAGAGGTGAATGTCTTCAGCCACTGCCATAAGAGATGTAGGATCTGGTTCTTTTGTCTTTCGTGGTTTAGCTTTAAAAAAAAAAAAAAACAAATAAAAAAGTTATAAATACAAAACCCAAAATAGTGTCGATCCTAAAAATAATCACCAAGGCAATTACCTCCATCACATATCTCATCTGTGCAGAACGGGTATCTTTTAGGAATGTGTTTGGCCATGACTGTACATGGCCAACCACTAAAAAGGCCTTCCACATCTCCAAGATGAGCGAAATCTCCATAGACCGACAGGCTTAAAATGTGATATTTTTTATCAACTATCTTTAGAGCGTCATCGATCTTTTGGTATATGCCAGTAAATTCTTCTTTACTGGCAAGCTCAGCCTTGTCATAATGCCAGAAGATCGGGATACCAAAATTTGTATCATTTGGATCGCTGTATGTCGTACGGTAGAATGGAAGCCTGGGATTCATGGGTTCAATTCTCACCTTAAGGAAACATAAAAACAAAAATAAAGTTAGCATAAAATACCGAATATATCATAGGAATTTGTGTTTTCTTTAAAGAAAAAGAAAGAAAAAAAGATTTCTCGCTTTTATACAAAATAAAAGCTAAGAATTGTAGTATTTAGTATAGGTTTTGGATTTATCTTTTCTCTTAGCACGCAAGTATTATTATTAAAAAAATAAAAAAAGAGAGATCCTCCAAATTCATCATCATTAGGTACATTCTTATCCCTACTGCTAATTTATATCAATAAAATTTAACATATTAATTTAGAAAAACCATTAAATAAAGACATTATAAAAATCATTCAAGATAAAATTGATCACTGTTATAATAAAAAAATAAATAAAAGAATACTGAGCAAGAAATGCAGATCAGATCTTACCGACACTTGGAAAAGGGAGTGGCACGAAAGGATTTGGCCACGTTAGAAAGTGCTTTTATAGCAGCGGAAGAGAAACTTACTAGGGTTAATATTCTTGAAAGACTGTGAACCGTTGGATCGTAGTTTATCTACGGTTGTTATCATCGATCTTCGTCATTATTTATATAGCGATCTGAACCGTTAAAAGCTTCTGCATATAGACTACTATCTTTTCAGACGTTCGATCTAACAAAAGAAAAATCGCTTTGAATGTGTTATTTAGGCCCAAATACAGTAATGGGCCTTATGAAATCTACGTCTTTTGTTTATTCTCGCCTTCACCTCACCGAAAATCAGGCGTATTTGATCGTCGCTCGATCTGTTACCATAAGTCCATAATTGATGACATTTGATTTATTTAATACTAGTGTTCCCCCGTGCGTACGCACGGAACAATTTTATTTTCAATATTTTTTTTCCATCAAACTAAACTACTGTGTTAATCATAACTTTTTTAAGTACATGAAATTGGAAGTGAGAATAGGGATAAAACAAAACGGTTTATAATAGTAAACCATTTTTATTATTTAGATAATGAAAAATAAGGATACATATACATTAACAAAATTCAAATATATTTTATAGTATATGAACAAATAACAATATATATATATATATATGAAATGAAATCACTATAATTAGAGTAATTGTATATGAAAAAGAAAAAGAAGTATCATATTGAACCATTCAATTTGATCAAAGGATTGAAGGTCGGTCTTTTTTTAATACATTTGATTGCTGAACCAAAGCATTTCCATTATGCATCTATGTTTTTAATCTTTGTCAGCTGTTTCTGTACTGAACTCCTTCTTGACGACAAACTTGTTAACAAAAAGTTTAAGTTTGTTTTGCTTCTTGGTCTTGGTGGTTCTGAGTACCACACCTTGCTCCTTGTCAGCTGGCTGAATGGTCACCGTCTTTTTATTTGCCAAACCTTAAAAGACAGAAGATCCAAACTTTAGTCACAATGGCAAAATGCTAATACAAA